GATTGTGCTTAAAATTAGCTGAACTGATATAGTAATCAATGGCTTTGATGAACACTCGTTGGTTTTCGGCATTTTCTGAAGGAAATAGTCGATGAAGTTGCATGGAGTATAAGGTTGCATCTTCCATTTCAAAATGTTTAGTGCCAAATACTCTGTTCGCTTTTAGCTCAAAAGAAGAACTTTGGCTCCCCAACCTGTTCTACTGATCCAGATTAAAAACAAGATGAATAAAATAAATTCACAGGCGTATCGAAAAATCAATGCAAGTAGAATACATGTTAACCCTAGAACAATTAGGCTAAGCTCATTAGAACTAAACAAAGTTAATCTGATATAGCTGAAGAATGGTTTCATGAGCTAAATTTTGGAAGGTCATATCATATTATAAAGAAGAAAACTCCTTGGCATCCAATTAGAGTGACTGACACTGAATAAAAAATATAAACAATGGATAAAGCAGAAAATGAAAATATGAGATGGTGACGTTTGGCAAATTGTGGGATAACAAAAGAAAATTTGTGGTGAAAATATTGTAAATATTAGAATGGAGTTTTGAAGAACTGGTCATTTACATGTTAGCATCTTGAATAATTAAATTCATTTTGATGATAAACATGCACAACTGAACCTAATGTAAGATGCATAAAAGAAGAGATTTTTTCAAAGTATAAACACAAATGATAAAAGCTGAAATTGGGTAGGGAAGAAATTCCTACGAAGTAAACTTCAATGACAATGCATATAGTGTATCTTTTGATAAAAATTTTGAGAGCTAAAAACTAACACAATATAAATATTTCAACTAACTAACTTGCTGAAAATTCTTGGTTATCAAATAGAAGAATGAAGTTTAGGTCTACTTGTAATTGAGACTGTATCGGGAGAGCCAATTCGGGTGCTGTTCAACACCCATTCCTATCATTTTCTCCACGTCCATTCTCCATATCACTACAACAAGCACATTTCAGGTTTATTAAGCTTCATTTTAGGTTTTATTGAGAATTAGGCGGTCGGAACGTTCTCTTTTTGCTCTTTCTAATATATACCGAAGGCTTCGTTTTTTCCTCTTTCTTTATAGATCTAAAAATATTTAACTTTCACTTAGCAACATAAAACTGACATTTTCACCCTTCTCATCAGGATTCTCAGGGTTTTTCAACATCTTTTTTGTCTTCTTTGTTTTATGTGATCTCAATCCTCTCTCGACATTGTTAATATAAGCCTATATAGGCTCCAACGTACCTTGCATGTACTGAAGGACTAAATAGAAACTTGGCAAATTATCTTATGTTTGGAGTTCAGATTAATTATGGACAGACATCACTATGACAAAAAGTATGTTC